GAGGAGCTGGACTGGTGCCTGGAGCAGCTGGAGACCCTGCAGACACACCGGGCGGTCAGCGAGATGGCCTCCAACAAGGTGGGGACACTGGGGACACTGGGGACACTGGGGACATCATTGGGGACACTGGGGACACCATGGGGACACTGGGGACACTGGGGACATCACTGGGGACATTGGGGACACCCTTGGGGACATTGGGGACATCACCGGGGACACTGGGGACACTGAGGAAATCACTGGGGACATCACTGGGGACACTGGGGACATCACTGGGGACATCACTGGGGACATCGGGGACAGTGGGACAGGACCTGCAGGGACACCAGGGCGGGCACGGGGACAGTGACACGGGCCAGCGGCGCCGGGGGGACATCGGTCGGTGCTGGCGGTGGCTGTGTCGGGGTGTTGGTGGCACTGGTGGCCATGGTGGCCATGGTGACATTGGTGACGTTGGTGGCCCTGGTGGTTGTGGTGGCCCCAGTGGCTGTGGTGACATTGGTGACACCGGTGACATTGGTGGCCCCGGTGGCCGTGGTGGCCATGGTGACATTGGTGACATTGGTGGCCCTGGTGGCCGTGGTGGCCATGGAGGCCATGGTAGCTCTGGTGACATTGGTGGCCCCAGTGGCCCCAGTGGCTGTGGTGACAGTGGTGACACAGGTGACGTTGGTGGTCCTGGTGACATTGGTGGCCCCAGTGGCCCTGGTGACATTGGTGACAGGTGACATTGGTGGCCCCAGTGGCCCCGGTGGCCCTGGTGGCATTGGTGACACAGGTGACACTGGTGGCTCTGGTGACATTGGTGGCCCCGGTGGCTGTGGTGGCATTGGCGACACAGGTGACAGGGGTGACACAGGTGACATTGGTGGCCCTGGTGGCCGTGGTGACAGGTGTCACTGGTGACATTGGTGGCCCCAGTGGCCCCAGTGGCTGTGGTGACAGTGGTGACACAGGTGACGTTGGTGGTCCTGGTGACATTGGTGGCCCCAGTGGCCCTGGTGACATTGGTGACAGGTGACATTGGTGGCCCCAGTGGCCCTGGTGACATTGGTGACAGGTGACATTGGTGGCCCCAGTGGCCCTGGTGACATTGGTGACAGGTGACATTGGTGGCCCCAGTGGCCCTGGTGACATTGGTGACAGGTGACATTGGTGGCCCCAGTGGCCCCGGTGGCCCTGGTGGCATTGGTGACACAGGTGACACTGGTGGCTCTGGTGACATTGGTGGCCCCGGTGGCTGTGGTGGCATTGGTGACACAGGTGACAGTGGTGACACAGGTGACATTGGTGGCCCTGGTGGCCCTGCTGGTCCCTGATGCTTTTGTGGGGGTCCCTGACCCATTTTGGGGGTGCCAACCCTTCTGGGGGTGTCCCCCCCATTGTCCCCCATTGTCC